CACCGCTTTACCTTTGACTTCTGTAAACAAATACTTTCCAGTCCATGTCTTGTTGAAAACGCTGCATTCGGCATCAACTTTTCTTTTTTTGGCTGAGTTGACATTTTGAGGGTTAGCTGGCCAATATCACCTGTCTCTCACCCAGTAGGTCAGGGATCTTAAGTTCACCTGTGAACGTTTTTCATTCATGTTCCGATTTGATGGACCTCACGCGGGCCGGACAGGGACGCCCAAAGGGCCGGATGTGGCCCGCGGGCCATAAAATGCCCAGGTCTGCTTTAGACGAACCTTTGGGAAAACCAGTAGCGCCTGGTCTAGGGACCTAAGCATTCTGGTTGGAACATAATGGTGAAGATGATCATGGCTGTAAAGGGGAGCTGTCTCATTTAGGGCTCTGTGAGTCAAAACAGGGGCGTTGCTAACTACTGGTAAAGGTAAACATGTAGAGATGTTAATATTTATGAAAATATTTATTTCAACATATATTAGTCTGGCCCTGTGTTGGACTTTTCTTTGCATTCTTCTGCATTTCACAATAAAATAATTTGATTGTCAAACAGCCCCAGTTTGATTTCTCAGATTTAAACATTCACAACAAGTTAATCTATCAACAAATTATTAATTTAATAAAAACACATTACAATAATTTTTGAACTCATGAGGCCACATAACATATTGATGGTCCAACTATTTGAAAGTTGTATTGTGCAGTGGATGGCTGGTGGTCACAGAGCTGGTCCAGCTGATCACATGCATTGATGTACAAAGCTCTAATTTACTTCACCTTCAACATCCGAGCCTGGTTACGTACTAGTTAACTAAACTAACGTTAGCTTGTTTACCAACTACAGGCAGGTCTTCCTTCTCTCACCCTCATCTCTCTGAACTTCTTCCTTGTCTCAGCCTCTAAAGAATTTTCTTAAGTCCATCTACAGAGGTCAATAATAGTAATAACAGTACTAGAGTAACTGCTTTTTCATTGTGACAGAAGACAAATTCAGCCACCTCTCTCTCACTCTCCTTTCCATCCCTGTCTGAGACATGTTTTTAGAAATGTGCACAAGTTTTTCTGCCTGAAAGTGCTGTGACCGGTCTGCACTGTCTTTCATATAAAGTGGATACTGAGACGCATCAGAGAGAGAGTATTAATGTCCATGTGTGACTGAGCTGTACTGACCAACTACTGCTCCACTGTGCCCTATGATTTCAGTCCAGGCTGTGCTGCTACTTTAACAACTGGTAGATGTTAACTTCAAGTGTCTTGAGCACAACCTCATGCAGTGATACACCCGAGGACGTCGCTGTAACTGTGTCTACTACTGATAACAAGGAAATGATTGGAGGCCTGCAGCCTTGTTTACTGAGGTCAGCTGACCTATGCTGCACAGTGACCCACCCACGAGAGAAACAGGAATCATATGTGCTCAGGACGTCTTCTTTGAGACAAATGTCTGTTATTTCTCTGCCAAACTCAAAAGACCAAGAACACAGCAGCTACTGCTCTCATCCCATTTGTACATGTGCAAACATTTGAAAC